TTATCGTTCAACCAGGCAGCTAATGTTTTCTCATAGAATCATCCATTGAATCAGAATCAAAAGCTCTTAAGTGAGTTTATCCTCATAAATAGGTTTTCTATATAAAAGATCCAGGGATGATGAAAACAAATGCCTTTTACTTCAAATGGTTTAGTGATACACATTCAAGAGATATAGGTACTGCAGGAATATGTGTAGAATGTTGTTGACAAAAAAATAATAATTTACCTTCACAAATATATGTATGTTTACATAATTCGTACCTATTTAGTAAGTTTATTTTCTAGCATAATTTTCTACATGGTTCTCTTATGTAAAAGTGTTGCATATTTGCCTGACTCCAATGTTACTGTTTCTTTTCTAGAAGATACGTATGAGCGAACCCTGATTGTTGACGGGGAAAGTGCAACAGTTATACTCCTGGATATGTGGGAAAATAAGGTATGCAGAGCCGTAGCTCTCTGTGGATTCCTTCAGGGCTTCCTTTCAATAGGCCGTTTGGTGTGAGGGTGACCTTGTCTCATACAGCTGGTGCTCCAGATGAGGTGGGCTCATTTCCTTGATTAAAAGCATTTACTACTGAAGAACATGACTGTTCTAAGAAACAGGTCATTCACAAATGAGCTCTGAATAACAAGTAAGTTGCAGTGATTTGCTGTTAGTTCCATGAAAACACACGCGAAAAATTGTACTTGTTTTAGCTAAAGTGCAAACAAGTACGGCAGTTATTTTAAACTACATAAAACCATCTTATATGAATTTGACATTCTTAATACTAGTATTCAATATTTGCTTTTTAAAGTTCTTGGGCTTCTGAGCATATATGCTAGACCTTCTGTTTATTGAGAACTCTTCTATTACAAAAGAATTCTTAATTTCATCATTTGGGAAAAGCAAAGGGAGTTTTGGGGAAGTCAGAAAAGGCTCATTTTTGGTATTTTAGACAGAAATTGGAAATACTGTTTGGCATAGTAGTTGTGTAATATATCAACTCAAGCTGTAGAGGAAATTGGAAAGTGAGAACTTTTTGGTATTAATACTGTACAGGCTAGCAATCTTTAGCCACCAGACATCTTGTAAGCATGGAAGACCAATGCATTTTTGGGAGTTGAAAGCAGTTTTCTTCTCTTCTCTTATCAACAAGGGTACTTTAGGATATACATATTGTTTCTTTGCAAAACAACACCTCATTTCCCAGGCCAGTCTGAGCTCATGGAAGGGCTTCTTGTTTCACCAGGGGGAGAATGAGTGGCTGCAAGACCACTGCATGCAAGTCGGGGATGCCTACCTGATTGTCTACTCCATCACAGACCGAGCGAGCTTCGAGAAGGCATCTGAGCTGCGAATCCAGCTCCGCAGGGCCCGGCAGACAGAGGACATTCCTATCATTCTGGTTGGCAACAAAAGTGACTTAGTGCGGTGCCGAGAAGTATCTGTGTCAGGTAAGAGCAGTGGCGTGAGTGCTGTAGGAACGGTCTCTGGAGCACGTGTGCGCCTTCAGGCAGCTGCTCTGGCCTTCCTCTTTCATGAGGCAGGGACCAGGGACTTATTAAAATGTGAATGGAGTTTTATGGTCTACCTGCAGGATTCCAATCTCCCCACATCCCAGGGATTTTCTGGAATTCCTTTAAGGGAAGAGATCGTCATGCTTAGGAGCTTACTGGCAGCCCCCAACCTTTTCTCCTTGTTCTTTCTATTCTCCACGGAGATCCTAAGAGTTCAGGGAAGTGAAAGTAGCGTCTTCATGCCGGAAGGACGGGCATCTCTGATTTAGAGAAACTGTGAGAAAGAGTTTCACTGTGAAAAAGAATTTTTCTCATGCTGCCTCTGGTCCCTGTAAACTCTAGAAACACCCTCCAACCCCCATTCCCGACTTCCTAAATTTCAGTTAAGGCATCAGTCTGATGGTGTCACCTATGCTTTTTCATACTTAGTTCAGGGATAATTCCTATTTGCTGAGGTGTCACCCAAGTGCTTTTAGGGTCCTTGAGATTTTGTTGGCCTGATACAGATTTGGTCCCCGGTAAAATCATAAAAATACTACCTTGCCTGGCCCCGCTCAGGAGAAAAGAAACCTGATAAAGACAACTTATAGCTAGTTTGGGAATGTCTTAGTACCAGAAAGTGACTGTCTACAGTAATCGTTTCTTTCCAAACCCAAATTTGGAAGACACATGGGCATTGAACACAATGAACTATTTGAAAGTGAGACTGTTCCAGAAAAGCTTGTATATACATCTGTAAAATCCTCAAATTTTTTTCAAAACATCTCATTACAGCTTTTTTTTTTTTTTCATAAGAGAGGAAAGCCAAGTAGTAAAACTCTTCAATTCAGGAAACTGTCAGAACCAAGAGTTAAGAATGTGGGCTTGAGGATTAAGCAGGCCTGGGGGATTCTCCTGTGACACCCTTTCCTTCTCTTTACTCCTAAGAGGACACAGTGCGTCACGGTGGCCTCCTGTGTCCATGGCATTTGTGGCCAATTTAGAGTTACCTCGAGGACAGTTTTAGAGCAGGAATCACCCAGCATGGCCGTGTGCTGTGCAGGATCCTGCTCTCATCCTCTCCCGATCTTCTCCCCGCCTTTCCTTCCAGAAGGGAGAGCGTGCGCTGTGGTGTTCGACTGCAAGTTCATTGAGACCTCGGCCGCTGTCCAGCACAACGTGAAGGAATTGTTTGAGGGCATCGTGCGGCAGGTGCGCCTTCGGCGGGACAGCAAGGACAAGATCGAGCGGCGGCTGGCCTACCAGAAAAGGAGGGAGAGCATCCCCAGGAGAGCCAGGCGCTTCTGGGGCAAGATCGTGGCCAGAAACAACAAGAATATGGCCTTCAAGCTCAAGTCCAAATCTTGCCATGACCTCTCTGTGCTCTAGGCACCCACAGTCACCCAGATGTCCCCCTGATGGATGTCACTGAAGGCTGTTGAGACCAATAATCTATATTAGATTGGCAACTTAAGTATTGCTGGATGTGGCTTCTCCCATTGCACGGGAACTAGTGTGTTAGCCTCATGGGCAATTTGGAGCATGGGAAGTGAAAGAGCTTTGTAAAGAGTCAGTATTTATTTACAGGAAAAGCCTGGCCTTGCTCCTTGAACACCCAGGACTCATTAGAGGACATGTGTGGTGTTCACATGTGTTTCTTCTCTCCTTTGGGTAGTAGAGAATTGAAGCTTACAAACAAATGCCTAGGACAGGATCTTTTCATCATTAAACTTTTCCCCAGTGTTCTCATATGTGAATTTGAGGCTAATGGGTCATAAACAAATATAGGAAAGCTGTCAAAGGGTTTATTAAAAGGAGGGAAAACTTTCTATGTACCTTATACCTACAGAGCTAGATTTGTAGAACTGGGCACATCATGATCATGAACATTATTACGCCATCAAACTGTGAAAAGAAATGATGGACCTTGCTGGAAACTAAAGCTTAGCAAACAATTTTTGTTCAGTGCCCCCAGAGGTCTGTAGTATTGAGAACTGATACATGTACCACTTGTAGCTTCAAAGATTATATCTTATATGTCTTACAGTTTTTTATTTAGGGGAAAATTATTTTCGTCAAATTCTACTGAGTCAAACGACCTTTTATGTTCATTATTTTTGCAACCATAGAGCCATCATAAAAATATTTTTAAAAATCCAAATTGTTGATAACCTGGAGTGCCAAATGCCAAATTTTAAAATATGATCAAAGGTCTGAATTTTTATAAAACACATAAAAACTTCCAGTACTTTGGGTTGACCCTTGTATGCCACAGCTCTGCTCTATTTATTATTATTTTGCAAAATAACCATTTTAACATTTGATAAAGCATATTTATGAACATATTTCTTAATAAAAATGTCCATTTTATTACCGTTTTCTATCTTTTTCAAAATATGCAAGTTTTTACCTATATGTCTTATAATAAAAGAAATAAAATCTTTGGGAAAAAAAAGGCATTCTTAAATGTTTTTCCTCCCCAAACAAGAGAATTATGATTATTTTTGTATAGTTTTTAGAGCAAGCATATTCTAAAGAGACACTTTATTTCTTTTTCTCATTAGCAGTAGCCCAGTCATTATTTGTCTTAAAGAGTAACCTCGACATCTCTCCTTTGGAATCATGATTTACAGTAATGCAAAGTTATTTTTTGCTGACACAATTGGAAAGTCTTTGGGGTCATCTAAACGCTAAGCTGTAGGGAAAACCAGATTGATCTTTGACTTTGGTCTGGCAAATTCCTGACTGAACAGATGGTCCTCACTTTGCTCTTGAAGGATCATGGTTGTAAGCTTGACTAAAGCATTAGAGGAAATTATAAAGGATTAGGGGAGAGGAAAACAGGGAAACTAGTGATTTTCAGCCTGAGATCTAGCCAAGCAAGGCTTTAACCAAATTCTCCTCTCTGACATTAATACGGTTTGACATTAATCACGTGGCCATGTAATCAACGGCCAGCCGTGTGTAACCCTTTTGCTTCAGGGGAACTTCCTGGTGTCCCCTTTCACGTCTCCTCTGGTCCCTGGTGCAGAGGCTTTCACTCTCACCTCCCTCTTTCACAGTTTGTAGTCAGACGTGCACTGATGGTGATGATCATGCAACCTTGCCTACTGCCTGAAGCAACAGTTTTAAAAGATGTCTCTTTTTTTTTGGCCCTTTCTCTTCCTTTTTTCAAGTTGAGAGCAAAGATTCCCATCTCTATGCACTATGCATTTTTGAATTGCTGTAGGAAATAGTACAGGGAGGTCATAAGAGTAAAGATTTGGGTTACACAGGCCTGGGGTGAATCTTGGCTGTGCCATTTAACATCAGTGTGTCTTTGGAGCAGAGATTAAATCTTTCTATCAGTTTTCCTATCTGCAGAATGAGATTGCTAATAATACCTACCCCTGATAGGATTGAGGTGAGTTTAATGTCTTTTAATGTGCTGTGCAGTAAAGAGCTCGAGAATGTTAATTCATGTGCATGAATTAGAGTTAGTTTTATATGTCTGCCTCCCCCAATTTGAATGCAAATGGCTTCAACCAGGCACCAGTGCTTCTTTTCCTCCTTACCCCTCTACTCTCCAGTGCAGTGCCCTGTGTACATGGGACCTTCTTAACTGTGTCTTCTTGAGTTTCATAGATCCTTCCAATAGCCCTGGGAGGGCAACAGGTCATTTCATAGCAACCAGTACAGGGGGATAGTGACTTGTCTGAGTTTGTCTAGATGTGAAGTGTCTGGTCTAGGACTGGAGTCCAAAGGTGACTCGTGGTCACTTGCATATGCTAGCCTCCAAAACTGTTTCCAATAAACGCAGCCCTTTTCCTCCCCATGTGTCATCCCATGCAGAGCGCTCACACACCATGTGCATACTGCACACATGGCACACACCACACACCCCCCCATACATTTTTTATCTATGCTATTCTCTGTCCTCACACTCTCAGCCTTCCCCATCACTTCTTTCAGACCTTCACAGCCAAATGGCCAACAAATGCCAAGCCTCCCAGGCTTAAGGGTGTGTCAGGATGCAATACCAGGGCTCTTTAGGCTTAACCCAAGGCACGATGTTGGAGGCTGCATTCAATCTGAGAGGCTTTTTGGTTAAGAGCTACAGCTTTGGAGTCAGACAGACACGGTTTTCAATTACTTACTGGATGTATGACCAAGTAGGTTCCTTATCCTCTCTTTGCCTCAGTTTTCCCATCTGTAACATGGGGGTAACAATAATGCTGACCTCATAGGGTTGTGGTGAGGATGGCATGAGACCTGCAAACATGTGAGTTATCATCCCAGAGAGAACGGTGACTGCTCCTGCTCCAGTGCAGACTCACACCTTCATTCACTCAGACATTATGGGGCACCCGGGCACTGACCGCTGCTGGGAATATAATGATGATGAAGGTAATGTCCTCGTCTTCAGAGACCTTGAGAATAGTAAATTAGACTGTCCCGAAAAGCCAAAGAAGTGGCATTGGAGATAGAAAGAAAGTGAAAAACAGTGGGAGGATTATGCCAGGAGGGAACTGGATTTGCTGCCATTAGATAAAATTCAAATGAAGGGGGCCAGCCCGGTGGCGCACTGCTACAGTGCGCCGCTTGGGAAGGGCGGCGGCGCTCCCGCCGAGGGTTCGGATCCCACAAACAGACCGGCCGCTCACTGGCTGAGCGAGGAGCGGGGGCAACACCGAGGGTTGCGATCCCGTTGCCGGTCCCGGTCCGGTACGGGCGCGACACTGAGGGTTGCGATCCATTGCTGGTCACGAAAAAAGACAAAAAGACAAAAAAAAAAAAAAAAAATTCAAGTGAAGGAAAAAAAAATCATTAAAGTGATTGGATTGGATATGAGGAAGTAATTTGGGCTATTTTTTAAGAATCCCATTTTGGGGAAGTTGGAGCGTCGGAGAAAGGTTGGTTTTTAAGCATCCTGCATCTTTGTTTACTAATACATGAACTATTCAATGCAGGGAAAGAGGCACATGGTTATGAATCTGATTGGCCAAATTTACAGAGCTTCTGCTCCTGCAAGGTGCTGTGGAGAACACACTGCGGGAGAAGGCAGGTTTGCCTTTAAGAAGCTTATAGTATAGTTAACAGTGGCAGGAACCTGGCATGGTGATGAATGATGACAACTGCACAAAAACCTAGAATATGATATCGAAGGAAATAAGGGTATCAGAGTCACGGGAAGTAAGGCAGTTGGAGCTTGGGTACGAGAAAATTCCTTGCTGGGCTGGTACAACCACGGATGTCTTCTTGGAGGAAGTGACATTGAGCTTTATCTTGAACACTACCCAAGATTTCTACAGGTAGGGTTGGTTGAGGGGAAAAAAAGAGGAATTTGGTCTATGTAAAGAAAATAGCATGAGCAAAGATAGAGAGGCAGGAACTGGAAAAATCTGTTTAGAAAAAAGAGAAGTCCAATTTGGCCTGGAGCTTTCTAGGAGGTGTTAAGTGAGAAAGTTAAATGTATGAGGCTTGGAGTCAGATATATCTAATTTCAAATTCTTACTTGCTGGGTGTAGTCGGTAAAGTTCGTGTCCACTCAACCTCAAAGACATTATTAGGGTCTTTGCAGATGTAATTAGTGAAGGATCTCAAGATGAGATCAGCCTAGATTTAGAGTGGGCCCTAAATCCAATGCGTGTTGCCTTTATAAGAGAAAGCGGAGAGAGATTTGGACACAGAGGAGACACAAACAGAAGAAGGCCATGCAGAGATTGAGCTGGTGCTGTTACAAGCCAAGGAATGCCAAGGAATACTGGGGACCACCAGAGCTGGAAGAGACCAGGAAGGATTCTCCCCTAAAGCCTTCAGAGGGAGCATGGCTCTGCTGACACTGTGATTTTGGATTTCTAGCTTCCAGAATTGTAAGAGAATAAAATTTTTTGTTGTAAGCCACCAAGTTTATGGAAACAAAACTTAGGCAGCAGCCCTAGGAAACTAAATACATTGGGTTACTTAGGGCAAGTTACTTAGTCTGGAGAAGCCTCAATTTCTTCATCTGAAAACCAAAAATAACAATACCCATCTGTATTAGTCCATTTCTGTTGCTTATAACAGGATACCTGAAACTGGGTCATTTGTAAAGAAACAATATTCATTGCTTACAGTTTCAGAGGCTGGGAAGTCCAAAGTCCAGGGAACACATCTGGTGAGGGCTTTGTTCTTGTTGGTGACTCTATTCAGCGACTCAGGGTGTCACCTGGTGAGTAAGGCAGAAGCGAGCAAGAGAGAGACTCTCACATGCTCTCCTTTTAAAGCCTTCAGAACCACGCCCATGACTGCCATTATTCATCCATTCACTAGGGCATGGTACTCAGAATCTAATCACTTCTTCAAGGCCCCACCTTTCAATTACCGTAATAGGATTTCCCACCCTCTTAACACTGTCCTAGTGGGGGTTAAGTTTCTGATACTTGGACTTTGGGGGATACAATTCAATCCAAAGCACCATCTCATAGGAAGATCATGAGGATTAAATGTAAAGCACTTAACTTATTAACTTATTAAAGTCTGTCCAAGAGGTGGAGAGTGAACGAACTGGGAAGATAAGTTAAAGAGCAATTGTAGAATATGTTGAGTTCCGGGCTGAGAGGTTTGGACTTGGCTCAGAAGACAATGCAGGTGCTTGAATATTTCCAAACAGGAGTGTGACAGGTTAAAGCAGTGTTGCTTCAGGACTTTGCCCTAGAGAGCCAGGCCTGGCAGGAACTGGAAGGCCCTACACCCACCTTGAGGAGACCCACGAGGCAGTCCCCCCATGGCCAGGCTAGAGTGCTGAGAATGGCATTTCAGGCAGAGGGGAGGAAGTCATTCATTGGGGGAACCTCACCTCAGAAAGTGCATTTGATGTGTTTATTGGACTTAGAGAGTGCACATTGTCTGGCAGCATTAAAGGCTTTGTACCAGCAGTACTCACAAAGCAATGAGGCCCTATGCCTACAACCGCCAGACAGCAGTGCAAAGTGACAGAGAATGTGAGAGAAAGCAAGCTGCTCAGGGCAGGCAACTAAACAGCATCAGATGACACCAGAGTTAGAACGGGAATTGCAACTTTGTGACCGCCTGGAAAGCTGCAGAACTGCAAGAGACTAAACCATCAGTAACTGGTTCAGTACAACCCCCAGGAAAATGAGGAATTAAGTATTACACATCTGTTTTTTTGTCATGTGGTTGGGGGAAAATATATGTAAAATAAGAACTTGTTTTCAGTAAGGAATATGCAGGTGATGCTGCGTGTGCCTGCCAGTGCGTGTGCGTGTGTGCATGTGAGTTTACAGGGGAGAGGTGGGAAAATGAGGGCTCACAGCTAAAGGAAAGTTAGAGTGCTGCAATTAGAATACCCTCAAATATCAACTAGACTCTCAGCCTGTGCCACTTTTCAATACCCATGTTCCAAACACGGAGATGCCGTTAGTGGTCTCATTTAGTTCAGCATCTACCAAGGACACTGAGTATTT